TAACTGGTTTGCTCTTTGATACCTTAAATATAAATGTGTATTTTATCCAGTTTTGTTTAGCTTTGACACATTCTGCTATTACTGGAAGTAACACTGACTGGAAGAGTCCAGGTCTTGTAATGATTATAGTATTTGACCTAGAGATTTAGAAATTTGAACATTTTTTCCTTCCATTTGGAGACTTCCAGTCATTCTTTTGTTGCTGACTTCTGACAGTTCCATTATAATCAAGAAAAATGATCTCCGTGATATGGATTCTTTGAAATTTAATATCTTTTCATAGCACAAGATCACTTTACATAAATTTCCCTTTTTTGTTTAAAGTACATATGATTTAGTATGCAGAGTTCAACATATGTTCACTATATCAGGTTTGATTTTGTGTCCATATTCTATCTTCAACCAATTTTTTAAAAAAGATTTTATTTATTTGAGAGCAAGGAGAGAGCGCAAAGGGGTGTGGCAGAGGGAACCCAATGTGGGGCTCAATCCCAGGACCCTGAGATCATGATCTGAGCTAAAGGCAGATCAGCTAAATGCTTAACTGAATGAACCACCTAGGTGCCCCTTCAACTGATTTTTTTAATTGCTTGATCTCCTAGGTATATTAAAACATCTACCATGACGGTGACTTTGACAATTTCTCTTTGCTATATAGTTTTGGAAGTTATCTTACTGAAGACATATAAACTTAAGGGATAAATCAAACCTTCTGTCTTTATGTAGTGATCATCATTAAAACAAAATGTTATCATAGTTAGAGTCTATTTATACAGCTACAGAGCTTTCTTTTATCTTTCTTTGGTCTTTTTTTTTTTTTTTTAATCTTTTGGCTCTCAGCACTTCAGTATCTTTGTTTTAGATGCATTTCTTTTATTTTTTTAAGATTTTTTATTTATTTACGAGGGGGGGGGGCAGAGATAGACAGAGGGAGAAGCAGGCTCCGTGCAGGGAGCCTGACATGGGACTTGATCCCGGGTCTTCAGGATCACGCCCTGGGCCGAAAGTGGCACTAAACTGCTGGGCCACCGGGACTGCCCTAGATGCATTTCTTTTAAAAGCACATTGCAGACTCTTAAAAAACTAATGACCAAGATTTCTTGAAGAAGTGCTCAATCCATTTACCATTGGATTTATCTTACCTATTATTTGGCACTTATTTGTCCTATCCACTTTTCCTCCTGTGTGCATTTTGTTTGCTTCTTGTTTTTCTCACCTTCCTTTGCCTCCTCAACAGATACCAGTGGAGCATGTATTGATTTGTTTCTTCTAGGGGCAGCTCTTCAATTTGTCAAGTTCATACCTAAGTCTAAAGTAGGTCCACATCTTTACTTTCCTTCAAAATAATACAAGAGGGGCAGGCCAGGTGGCTCAGCGGTTTAGCACCACCTTTGGCCCAGGGAGTGATCCTGGAGACCCTGGATGAGTCCCACGTCAGGCTCCCTGAATGGGGCCTGCCTCTCCCTCTGCCTGTGTCTCTGCCTCTCTCTCTCTCTCTCTCATGGATAAATAAAATCTTAAAAAATAATAATAATACAAGATATTTATATTGATAATTTCAATTATCTACTTCATATGCATTAGGCTTAAAAAACAACAGGATACCTAGACTTTTTACTTTATATCATCTTTTCCTACAAATTTGACATTGTTTACACTATCAATAGTTCTTTAGATTTATTCAAGTACTTATTATTTTCTTTACTCACTGCTACTCCTTACACCCTTCTGTGATAATATTCCTCCTCTTTCAAGTTTATCTTTTATTTTTTTTTATTTTTTTTATTTTTTTTTTGTTTTTATTTATGACAGTCACAGAGAGAGAGAGAGAGAGGCAGAGACACAGGCAGAGGGAGAAGCAGGCTCCATGAACCGGGAGCCCGACGTGGGATTCGATCCCGGGTCTCCAGGATCGCGCCACGGGGCAAAGACAGGCGCCAAACCACTGCGCCACCCAGGGATCCCTCAAGTTTATCTTTTAGAAGTTCCTTTAGTGAGGCAATTTTGGTGGTAAATTCTAAGTTTTTGTTCATCTAAAAATGTCTTTCACCCTCATTCTTAGATAATCCATAAAGCAGAGTATCTACATCAAAATTGCTTGGAATGGTATAAATAACACAGTATTTGATAGTTGAAGGCTCAAAACTCTATATAAAGGAAGCAGTAGGTAAGTGCTATCTTAATTTTGTATTGCATTTACCATATGAATGTCTGGAATATCCTTCATATGCAATTTTCTTTCACTAGGTTCTCAGGAGGATCGCAAAGAAGCTCACCCCTCCCCCCTTCTTTACAGGTAAATGGAACACTCTAGAAAGTGTAACCCCTCACTTCATTATTCTTCTGGTTCTAACCAGCACCCCCGTATATGCTTTCCGTATAACCTAAGATGTGCTTGCTACTTTTCTTTCCCTGTAAGCTTCATTCTTTTTTATAAGTATTAAATTTTCTGTAGTGTTCAAGAAATCCCATTGGTATAACTTTTAGTTTAAAAGAATTTTTTATTAACCAGGACTCTTAATTCCTTCCAACATGTCAGATAACAAATCTTTTTAAGATAACTAAGTCTTTGGTCTGACACATTAATATATAATTGATAATTTAAGTTAATATAAAAGTTCATTATTTTTTAATCATGTTCCTGAAGAATAAGTTATAAATCTGTGAATAACAGTCCATTAAGTTAATACTTCATTTATATAGAGGAGAAATGGAAACAAGGATAGAATTCTGCTAAGAGTTAGTAAGTTTCTCCTATATGCATGTAACACACAAGCTAGGCAGGGAAGTTGGTGGAATTTTCATTTTTCCAACAGCTGAAAAGAGACATAACCTAGAGTAGACCAAGAGATTTTCAATCTTACTATTTTTAAAAGATTTTATTTATTTGAGAGTAAGTGTGTGGTGCAGGTGCACATGGGCGACGGGGTGGGGGGGTGGGGGTGAGTGGTGGGTGGGAGGCAGGGGAGAGGGAGGAGCAGGCCCCCGCACCGAGCAGCACAGGTGGGCGACTCCAGAACCCCAGGATCATGATGTGAGCTGAAGGCTCAACCGACTGATCCACCCAGGTGCCCCAAGAGTCTCAATCTGGTTCATCACACACATATGGGGATATTAGCATATTCCTCCAACATGCAAATATTTATAAATTACTTACATGTAATAAAAAAAAATACAAAGTGAAAATGGATGAACTAGTAAAGTAGGTCATATTCTTAAATATTTTAAAGTTTATCAGGGCAGCCCTGGTGGTTCAGTTTAGTGCCGCCCTCAGCCCGGGGTGTGATCCTGGAGACCCAGGATCAAGTCCCACATCAGGCTCCCTGCATGGAGCCTGCTTCTCCCTCTGCCTGTGTCTCTGCCTCTCTCTCTCTCTGTGTCTCTCATGAATAAATAAATAAAATCTTAAAAAAAAAAAGTTTATTAGTGAGAAAACAAAATTTATTGAAGGCATATGGGTGGGTGTGGGAATGTGAATGACAGGAATGTGATCCAATGTGACTTGACTTGATTGCTATTTGGGTCACCATTGTTTAAAATTTCACAGTGTGGCTGAAGAACAAACCCTGGGCCTAGAAGGCCTGTCTGACCACCTTTTATTGTCTACTGTCGGTTTGGATCCCCCTGACCCACAATAGAAGTAGCTCCTGGACCAGAACTTGTTGTTCATTGGGGAGACAACCCCAAGATGCCCCCTGAGGCTGCAGTGAGAGGGAAGGACAGACAGATTGCTGCCATAAGCAATGGGAACCAATCCTATTGGGGCCAGTCTGAGAAAACCTCAGTGTCCTCTAAGCTGAGGGGTAAGAAAGCTGCAGCACTTACAACCCTTTACTGATTAAGGGCTCCTGGCCTGGCAGCCAGAGGACACCACCAGAAGCCCGTGGGTTTTGGAGAGTGCAGGTATGCTAGAGGAGGCGGGGTACATGAACAGGGCAGACAGCATATGCTATGCTGCATTATGAAGAATATGATCTTCAGGGATGCCCGGGTGGCTCGGCAGTTGAGCTTCTGCCTTTGGCTCGGGTTGTGACCCTGGGGTCCTGGGATCGGGTCGTGCATCGGGATCCCTGTAGGGAGCCTGCTTCTCCCTCTGCCTGTGTCTCTGCCTCTCTCATGAATACATACAATCTTAAAATAAAGAGTATGATCTTTAATCTTAATTTCTTTGCAGAATTCTTTCTTACCCCTTAAAAACAATCTGTTAGGTAGGTCAATTTACATTGAATGTTAACTAAATTGGTAACATACCTACAAAAATATCACTGTCAATTCTTTCTACCTCCCCATAAGATTCTTCAGGTATGTATGTGACAGAGGACAACCTGACACCGGTCGGTGGGTGCACCATGCACCAGTCAATCTGAATATCAAACATTGATACAATTTTACCTTTTCTTAGATCAAGATGTATAAAGAGAAGTTCTGAGATTTTTCTTCCTTTCCACAATACATTGCCAGAGGTGCATGCTTCCCGTTCTGGTCATCCCATGACCAAAGTACAGAAAGTTATCTAGCTCTCAGCTGGAAATAATTTGATCATTTCATGGTATGGCTGGACTATTCCAAATGGGTAAGAACACACTAGTAACATAGAATTATAATGCAGTTTCAGCATTTGTCTTTCACTTGAGGAGGAGGAGACGAAAATTTCAAAACTATCTTCACAGAATTCCTTGAATGGAAATATTATCTCCCTGTGTTTAAAAAATTATGAAGAAATCCAACCAGAATGCAACTCCATCTTGGAGTCACTCTAAATCAGATCAAAATGCCCTGACTTTCCAGTCTTTGGTGTGAAAGGCAGATGGGCAGGCTCCTTGTTTTCATTCCCTTTGCAGAAATAACAGCTCTGCAGAAACATTTTCCAAAGTCACAGCTTCCTAAAGGAGTTACATATGAGAAATCAGAAATGCATTGAAACTTTCCTAAACAAGTACTTAACAAAATTCCAGAAATGTGACACAAAGTTATAAAAGTTCATTTTATTTAGGCTGCAACGTGTAGATTATTTATTTAGTTTTAAAACAGGCTTAATACACAGTTTACTTTTTACCAGCACTTTGATTTAGCTTCAACAACTTAAGAACAGAATAGTTTACGGTTTTACTGTACTAGTTTAGAAATCTATTCTGGAAAGAAAAAAAAAATCCATTCTGTGTAGAGACACTTATATTATTTAATTTTCCCAGAGTTTAAAGCCTTATAATTGAAATAAAAATCTTAAAAAAAAGGAGGGGGGCAGCCCCAGTGGCTCAGTGGTTTAGCGCCGCCTTCAGCCCAGGGTGTGATCCTGGAGACCTGGGATCGAGTCCCACGTCAGGCTCCCGGCACGGAGCCTGCTTCTCCCTCTGCCTGTGTCTCTGCCTCTCTCTCTCTCTCTCTCTCTCTCTCTCTGTGTGTGTGTCTCTCATGAATAACTAAATAAAAATCTTTAAAAAAAAAAAGAGCCTTATAATTGAATCATTTTATTTCAGTAAAGACTTTTAAAATTTTGAATATCTTGAAAAACACTATTTTATGATACATATCAACAAAACTCAATGCCATTTTCTCCAATAATAAAAGTATGCTTTTTTAAACTGTTGCTTTTTAAATGACGTGAAACTAAAGAAAATTGGTTGGTTTTAAAATCCTCTTGTTTGGAGAAAAATATTCTGTGCTTTACTACTTGTTGCCACTCCTTACAGAGATAGGGTCTATAGTCTGCATCTGCCTCCCTCGGATGGTTAAAGGCAGAAGAAGGTCCTTCTGTCCAGTTTGAGGTTTTCTGCATTATACTTTGTGTTGTTGCAAAAAGTACTAAGCGATACTCATTTACAAGTTTCTCTAAGAACTGAGCACATTTCTTCAGAGTAGCCTCCTGTAAATTAACACTTTCTCCTCCATTGACACGGTCTATCCAGTAAAAAGCTGACAGGCTGTCCAAGATCAAAAGGCAGAGGGACGGGTGGCTACAAACCACAGTTTCTAGTGAGTACAGTGTGAGGAGCAGCTGGGTGCTGCTATTGCAGTTCACCAAGAACAACCTTCCGAGGCAGTGTTTTACCATTTCTTCTGAACTTTGGGATAGTCTATGCTCGAGAATTGTAACAAGCCGAAGCATATCAAAGTGATAATCTGTATCAATAAATAAGACTTCTACTTCCAGTCCACCTTCCGATTTTGGAAGTATACATCGTGCTGTTAAATGATAAAGCATTTCTGTTTTTCCTGTTCCCTCTGGACCATGAAATTCAAGAATATCACCTGTGTAAAATTTAAAAATGTCAGTCAAAATGCAGCAGCACGGTAACGGTAGGCTACAGAATGAAAAGTCTGCAACAATGTTTGAAAAGACATTTACTGGAATGCGAAAGAAAATCTAAATCCATTTGCCAAAATGGGTCCATATAAGCAAATACAAATACATAAGGAAACTGAATCATTAAATTTCACCTCTGGGAAAGGAGCTGGCTACTAATTAGCATCAAGAAAATCTGAAAAACAGAATGACAGGGTTGAAGGGCACCCAAGGAAATCTCCTGGGGAGGGGTCCACATGCACTCACACTTGAAACTGGTGATGTTAATAAAGTGCCAGACCTATGGTCTTTCAAAAATTTACTGATTACTATGGTACACACCATTTCTGGCGCTTGATTACCCAATATACATTCTCTCTTTTTTCTTAAGTATTAAACTTCAATTTGGGGGTACAAGGGAAGGCAATGCGCCCAATTGAAAAACCATTTTTCTCAGTATCCCTTGCAGAAAAGGGTCAGAGATATCACAGTTGTAGCCAATGAGACACAATTAGATTTCTGTTGGGAGTTTCTAAGTTTTGCTCTCCTGATACAGACCCCACTTCTGCTCTGCCACCCCTGACTCTGTAGGGGAAGCAGCCACCCTGAAGCGGTGAGTATAAAAGGGACACCCTAAATAGGGTGGGCCCTAAGAATGGTGGAACAGGAAGACAAGAGGTGCCCAGGACATTGATGACAATACAGAACCCTACCCCAGCTATGCAGGGCCTGCCTCTATACCACTGTGAGATGAGGAAAATAAGCCTGGTTCAGGTAAGCCACTAGGCTGGACTTCATTACACGCTGAAACAATCCCTAACTAGGGTTTCTCAGTGTTACTGGCATTATGCGCAGAACAATTCTTGACTGTGCAGTTTCACACATACAGAGCCATAAGAGTGCACAGCTCTTAGGCCTAAATGCCAATAGCGTCCCTCATCTGAGAACATCCGTCCACATTTCTAAAATGCTATCAGTTATTCTCTGCTACATGAATTTCCTGAAATTGTGCCCAGCTGGAATGACATCTGCACTGTAAAGTATTTTCCTAGCATTATAAATTTAAGTAAACTACCTGAACTTCAAAGACTCCAAATCTTTACTATATAGGTTCCAGTAACTCTCTCCCAATGAAGACAACACAAATTAAACACCTGGGGAAGTTTTCCTGCCTCCAGAGCTCCTCAAAATCCACTCTGAACAATGGCCTTCCAATTCTTGTTGATTTGTTTCCATTTAATTTATGGCTGAATCACATAATTGGAAACACTGTGTTAAAAATGCAGATTCTTGGGCCCCAAGCAAATTACAGTCTACTGAGAGTCCAGTTACTTTATTTCCTGTTATTACTAATAAACCATTATAGATTGGAACATTCACAATGTGTAAAAAAAATCTAGCATGTTACCACTGTACAATATTTAAGGTACTATCAAACTTCAATCAGTTTCTACCATAACCTTACATGTAATTTGCAATTCAAAATTTAAATAAAGAGGATTCTTCCTCACCCTTCCCCCAAAAGATCCCAGCTCAAGGAGTAAAACTATTTTCTCAATAACAATTGTTCACTGATGCTCTTACTGAAAGTTAACGTAGTGATAAAAACTATTTAAGCCAGGGATCCCTGGGTGGCGCAGCGGTTTAGCGCCTGCCTTTGGCCCGGGGCGCGATCCTGGAGACCCGGGATCGAATCCCACGTCGGGCTCCCTGCATGGAGCCTGCTTCTCCCTCTGCCTGTGTCTCTGCCTCTTTCTCTCTCTGTGTGTGACTATCATAAATAAATAAAAAATAAAAAATAAACTATTTAAGCCAGATATTGTTTACTCTCCTACTATAATGACTGAGGAGCTAAGCTGTTATCTTTCCCTTAAGTCTTTCACTCCTCTATATGATAGAAAGAGAACAAACTACATGCATTAGATGAAACATTAACATAGAACAGATATTAATGGTAGTGAAGGAAAGCTGAAGTTTAGCAAGATTAATCTTAAAAAGGGTTTGGAGGACACAGTGAACCACAGAGAAACACATGGGGAAGCCAATTAGACTGCACCAAACCTTCTCTTCTTTCCCCAGAAATGGTAGAAGAGGCCAATCAATAGTAACTAACTTTTTCATCGTACTTTACAGATGAAAAGGGACAACTTCATGATACCTCATTTGGTCCTAATAACAATACTTTGAGGTAAAGAAAGCAAACTTTATCACCTTCCATCATCACAGTTATTGTGCTTTATAATTTTTTTTAAAGAGGAGAGATTAATTAAAAATTTAAAATCTTGGGGAAAAAAATCTCTACACCCAACTCACAACCCTAAGATCAAGAGCCGCACACTTCACTGACAGAGCCAGCTGGCATCCCTCATGCTGTGTGATTTTGCCTATTTCATTATATTTCCTGTATGCTACTTTAAGTTGGGACTTCACTATTCCATCTCCAGCACAAAACACAGTATCTTTTGGATGCACTTCATCAGATTACCTTCTTTTTGAGAACTTCTTGAGAGACACCTAAAAAATGAAAATATAAGTCCTGATCTGGTAAGGAGTAAAGGTCCACAGTGGACTTTGGAACATGACATTTTGAAAGGAAGCAAGTCGATAGGGGACAGAGATAGAGGTGTGGCATTGCTTCCCAGAGTCCAACAGGTGTGAAACAAGAGACCAGCAGAGGACGCAAGCAAGAATAAGACCTGGCCCTCAAGACGTGCTGACACTAGTTTGTGTCAGGTTTTCAGCCCCCATCACTTATTCAGAAGGTTAAGGGTAAAGCTAACGTAGTGATGGAAAAGTTCTTCTCAGAGACAGGGTTGGAAGTACCCATACAAATCAAATACATAAGGAAAGCAGGGATTTTAAAGTCACATAATCACATAAATATCCTAACAAGAATTTAGCTTTCAAAAGGCTATGTTAGCTAGGGTGTCATAGAAGAAAAATGTTTTATAACCACTAGAATTTAAGATTCAAAAAAAAATAATGTTTTATTATGTATGATCAATATGTAGCCACAATGATCAGAGAGTAAGCTACACAGAAACCGAAAACAGCTCAATTTCGTGGGTGAGAATGAACAAAAAATTAAGAAGAGAGGTAAAAAATTCAATTCTTAGGATACATCTACGTTAGAGGAGTCAGCATGAAGACATACAAAACAGAAATTTAATATAAAAATTAGGAGGAGGGCAGCCCCGGTGGCGCAGTGGTTTAGCACCACCTGCAGCCCAGGGAGTGATCCTGGAGACCCGGGATCAAGTCCCACATTGGGCTCCCTGCATGGAGCCTGCTTCTTCCTCTGCCTGTGTCTCTGCCTCTGCCTCTCTCTCTGTGTGTGTCTCCATGAATTAATAAAATAAAAAATCTTTAAAAAAAAATTAGGAGGAAACAGACTACAAAACATTTCAAGAAAATGAAACTATACTAAATAACATTCAATAGCACAAAATTTCTAAAAGTAAAAAAATTGCAGTTTGGGAACAGATCACTGAACTGGTCCTGGATACTTACCTTATAGCAAAAAATGTGTAGTTTGCAAAACCACATTTAATACAAATATTATTTTATGAACCAAACTTCAAAATCAGATATTCAGAAAAGAGATGGAAGGGCACTCCAGGGAGCACTCAGTGTTCTTCCAAGAACCAGGCTGAAGGGAAGGCAGAGGAATAAGGGAATATGGGAAATGAGGAATAAGGGAAAAAATATGATGGTTTACATTCATTTAAAAAATAAAAATATGGGCAGCCCTGGTGGCTCAGCGATTTAGTGCTGCCTTCAGCCCAGAGTGGGATCCTGGAGACTGGGATGGAATCCCATGTCAGGCTCCTTGCATGGAGCCTGCTTCTTCCTCTGCCTGTGTCTCTGCCTCTCTCTCTCTCTCTCTCTCTCTCTCTCTCTCTCTCTCTCTCTCTGTCTCTTATGCATAAATAAATAAAATCTTAAAAAAAAAGTAAAAAATATTCAGTAGCAGGTTCATGACGCTGGGGAGTCAAATGAAGTCAAACGAAGGTAAGAGAAAGGCAACATATTCTGAAGTAAAAGAGAAGAGACTCTACAGGAAGACAGAAATACGTGACGCTGACCAGAGGGTAACTGTGAGAGCTCTCTCTGGATGTTTCTGGAATTCTCCAAATAGGAAAAAAATTAAAACCTTGCCAGATATTTTCTTGGAGAGAAGGTGGTGCTCATTAACATCTTTTGGATAACTCAAAAGAGTTATGCCTTTAAGAACACTTGCTTACACGGTTTAATAAGGTTTGCTAAATCCACACATTACTAAGAAATAGATGATGTAGTATATGAGTTCTGCAGATCCTTGGTTTGGCATGATTGAGATGAGGCAAAGATTAAGGTGAAATCCTTGGTTAGGAAATTATTAAGCGGTATATAAAAACACTCTTCTTCTTTTACAGATTAACAGCAAGGCAGTAAAAGGGTCATTTGTAACAAGTGGGGAAATAAAATATGCAACTTGCAAATTACACATAAATATTATCATTAAGGTCCTAGATTCCCTAGAAGTATGTTTAATGATGAATTGAAGTCAGTTTTGCTGGTTTTAGAAACATTTACTGTCTAATCCTCATATCAAAAATCATTTTCAAACGTGATGTTCTACAGAGGGGCACCGTCCTTTTAGCTGTATTTGAAGTCACTATCTCAAATGTTTCTGAGGGCTGCTACAACAGAAATTGTACCCTTGTCCACTCAAAAGTATTGAGTATGACAACTTGCAGTAAAAAAACCCACCCCCACCCCTACTCCCACCCCCAAACACACACACACACACACACACACACACACACACACACACACACACCAAAAAAACACCTCTACAGTTTGGCACTTGACAAATTAAACTAAATCAGAAAATCTGGATGGTTTGGCCTTGATAGTTGCTCTCACAAATAGAATGCTGTAAGGGATCTGGGTAACAGATTGTCAGAGTGAGTTTATGAATCTGAAGATCCTTCAAAATAAGGATAAAAAAGAGAAGCCAAAAAAAATACATCATCTTGGTACCAATCTACTAATTGTATGACAAATATGTTGTATTTGCAATCATTATGGTATGGAAGAGGTAATTGGTATATAGAACAGAGTACTACTACAAAAAGCATATAGAAATGTTTAGAATGGCCTTAGAGTTTCCTATAATCCCTAACTCTCTTATTGCTTCACTTTGACCTTCCCTATATGGTTTCTGATAAACTACTGTTGATAAATAATGCTTATAATACCAGTCTTAAGTCTGCTATTGCTCCAATTAGTATTCATTTAACTAGTTTTACAGCTAAAATGTCTATTTATAAAATATTGAAATTAAGATGGTGTTAATCCAAATTAGATAAACTTTTTTGTTACTGACTGAACATGATGGTGTTTTTAAAGTTTCTACAAATGTAATATTCAAATGTATAAGTAGTGCTGCCAACTCATGCTTTAGTGTCAGTTTCATAAGGTCCAACTTAATAACATCCTTTCTGATAGAATACAAAGTTCAATCTTTTGTCTAACATGGTTAGTCAAAATTTGTCTTTTACTGATAGTTTAGAATATTGTTTACTAACAGACCTGTTCTATAAAAAATAGTAAAGGGAATCTTCTAGGTTGAATGAAAGGACAGTAGATAGTTACCTGAATCCAAATGAGTTAATAACGACCACCGGTAAATATAACCTACCTAAGTAAGTATGAAAGACAGTACATATTTTATATTTGTAACCTTTTCCCATTTATCTGACTTAAGAAACAAATGAATTAAGTAATTTTTTTTAAATTTCTGTTATAAGACATTTTAATTTCTCTGCTGTACTGGCTTTTTAATTTCTTGCATTAAGGAATAATTTAAGTAATAATTTTAGAAGTGTTTATGGACATACAACATATAAATATGTAATTTATTAACAACACAAAGGAAGGGGGAGGAAATCGAGCTACCTAGTAGCAAAGTATTTATGAAATATTGAAATTAAGATGATATGTATCTAAATTAAATTGCTTTAAATTAAGATATTAATTGTAATCCTTGGAGCAACCATTAGGAAAATAACACAAAAAAATAAAGTAAAAGGAATAAAGTAAAAGGACCAGGAATAAAAATGGTACACTAGGGGCACCTGGGTGGCTCAGTTGGTTAAGTGTCTTAACTCCTGCTTCTTGATTTCACCTCAGGTCATGATCTCAGGGTTGTGAGATGGAGCCCATGGTGGGCTCCACACTGGGTATGGAGTTTGCTTAGGACTCTCTCCCCCTGCCCCCCCCCCAAAAAAAGATCCTCTCTCCCTCTTCTTCTGCCTCTCCCCACTAAATAACATGGTACACTAGAAAATATTTACTTAACATTAAAGAAGACAGTAATGGAGGAAAAGACAAACAAAAAAGATATAATACTATCTAAAAGAGCAAAATGGCAATCGTAAACCCTATCTTATCAGTAATTCATTAACTATAAATGGATTAAATAGTCCAAACAAAAGGCAGAGATTGGCAGAATGGAATAAAAACACCTGATGCAATTGTAGGCTATCTACCATAGAATACTTCACATCACTAAGTCACAATAGATTGATAACAAAAGGATAGAAAAAGATATGCCATGCAATCAGTAACCAAAAGAGAGCTGATGTGGCTATACTATTATCAGACAAAATATACTTTAAGACAACTGTTATTAGAGACGAAGAAGTATATTTTTGTTTTCCATTTTGCTAAAGACAGCATAATTTACATCTTAACCATTTTTAAGTATAGTTCAGTAGTGTTAAATTACATTCACACTCTTGTAAAACATCTCCAGAGCTTTTCCATCCTGCAAAACTGAAACTCTGAACCCACTGAACAACAAGTCCCCTTGTCTCCTTTTTCCCCAACTCCTGGTAACTATCATTTTACTTTCTGTTCCTATGAATCTGACTGCTTTAGATACCGCATATAAGTGAAGTCACAGTATTTTTCATTTTGTGACTAGTTTATTTCCCTTAGCATGTCCTCCCAGTTTATCCACATAGTAGCATGACAGGATTTCCTTTTTAAGGCTGAATAATATTTCCTTGTTTGCATATACCACATTTTGTCTATGCATTCATCTGTCAATGAACATTTGGATTGTTTCCATCTCTTAGCTATTATGAATAGTGCTTCTATGAACATAAGTATGCAAATTATCTCTTCAATACTCTGCTTTCTATTCTTCTGGAGATACACCCAGACAGTGGAGTTGTTGGATCATATGGCACTTCCTTTTTTCTTAAAAGATTTTATTTATTTATTTTGAGAGAGAGAGGCACACAGGCGGGGATAGTGGGGGTGGGGTGGGGTGGGGAGGGACAGAGGGAAAAGGAAAGAAAGAACCTTAAGCAGACTCTGCACCAAACCCAGACGCAACCTGCAGGGCTCCAACTCACAACCCTGAGATCATGACATGAGTGGAGATCAAGAGTCAAACACTTAACTGACTGAGCCACTGAGATGTGTCAATCATATGACAATTTTTTTTAAATTTTTTGAGGAACTTCCATACTGTTTTTCACAGTAGTTGCACCATTTTACAGTCACATCAACAGTGCAAAAGGGGTCCAATTTCTCTACATCCTCACCCAACACTCGTTATTTTTTACTGTAACTATGATAGTGGGTGTGAGGTGACAAAGGACATTTTATAATGATAAAAGAATCAATCCATCAATAAGGTATAATAATACTCTTGTAAGTGCCCAACAGTGCACAAAGCCCCAAAATATATGAAGCAAAACTAAGAACTAAAGGGAGAAATAAACAATTTAACAGTAATTGTTGGTAACTTCAATATTCACTTTCAATACCATATAGAACAATTAGGTAGAAGATCAACACAGAAGCAGGAGACTTGAATGCTAGAAACCAACCAGAAATACAAAACATCAAGAAAACACTCAATCCAACAATAGCAGAATACACATTCTTCTCAAGTGCACAGGGAACATTCAAGATAGACCATATGTTCAGCAATAAAACAAATCTCAACCAATTAAAAAGAATGAATCACAGAAGTATGTTCTCTGACAGAAAAGAATGAAAATAAAAATCAGTAACAACAAAACCATAAATCTTCCTGACCCTGGATTAGCCAATAGCCTCCTAGCTATACCAAAAGTATGAGCAAAAAGATAAATAAATTGGACTTCATAAAAATGAAAAGCCTTAAAAAAATTTAATAGCCTTGTGCTTCAATGGACACCATTGAGATCGTGAAAAGACAACAAAAAGAGTGGGAAAGGCTATTTATAAATCGTATTTGATAAGGGACTTGTATCTACAATATATAAAGGACTCTTACAACCCAATAATAAAAACACAACCTATTTTTTTTAAATGAGAAGATATGACATTTCTCCAAATAACACATACAAATTGCCAATAAGCACATGAAAAGATGCTTAATATCATTAGCCATAAGGGAATGTAAATCAAAACCACAATGAGGTATCATTTCATACTCACTAGGAAGGGGATAATAAAAAACAAAGACAATGACATTTGTTTGCAGGATGTGGGAAAATTGGAACCATTCTATGCTTCATCCCCAGTGGCAAGTAAAATGTGCAGCTGCTATGGAAAATAGTCTGGTAGTTCCAAAAAAGGTTAAACATAGTTGCCACGGGAACCTAACAGTCCCTCTCATAGGTATTACTCATGAGAAATGAAAATATACATCCAGAGAAAAACTTATACACAGATAACCATAGCAGCATTATCCATAACAGCAAAAAGAAACCCAAATGTCCATCAACTGATGCATGGATAAACAAAATGTGGTATACCCATACAACAGAGTATTACTCAACAATAAACAGAACTACAGATACATGCCACAATGTGATAAGATTTGAAAAGATTATGCAAAGTAACAGAAGCCAGTCACAGAAGACCACATACTGTGTAATTCAATTATATGAAATATGCAGACAAGGCTAGTCTAGAGAGTCAAGTAGATTAGTGACCGCCTAGGGCTGTGGGATGTGGGAAGAAATGGGGAGTGACTGCTAACAGGTACAGCTTTCTTTCTGGAGTGATGAAAATGTCCTAAAATCAACTGTGGTGACAGGTAAAGAAACGTGAATACTACAAACCATGAAGCTGCACACTTAAACGGATAAATTATATCTCTACAGAGTTCTTCTTACACTAAAGAAGAAAACAATGCAAGCACAGTACCTTTCTGTAAGTTTTCCCTAGTGTAGAAGTGTTGGTGGAACAAGCAGGTAGGTCTTTTCCCTTCTATAGAAATATTAACAACAGGGTACCTAAGGACTTTCCTGTGATTCTCAAACTTCTAAGGAATTAAAAAATAAATTATAACAAAACTCCCACAAATAACGTGTCAAGATAACAGAGGTCAGTATTTATTCTGAAATTTACTGCAAATGAGCCGAACTTTCTCTTATCTGACACAGATAAAGTGTCCTGTCATGATCTATTCTCACTTTTTAATTTTACAGGTTAATCCATATAGCCATTTGCTACAAGTATGTACATATAAATGAATATATGTTGGAAAAGAACATGTTTTATAAGACTTAATGTATGACACTGTATTTTGATTTGAAATTGTTTTTACCATGTACAGATGAAACTTCATCAGCGAACAGATATGGTTCTATTTCTTTCAAGGAACTTCTACCTTCAAGTCGGGCAAGGAGCTTGCAAAAGAAAAGAAAAGGAAAAAGAGAAGGAAAAACTCATTACCTAAAAATACAAAATCTTACAAATCTACATTTACACAATTTTCCTAAAGTCTATTTTAAAAACTCATTTAGTTTTGAGGATTTGGAAGAAATTATGAAATAGGAAATAAAATTTAGGAGAAAAACTCTGTTCATTTATTCAGGAAATATGTCATTCTTTTGTTTATGTATCAAATACTGAGGTATAAAATAAGTCCCTGCCCTCAAAAGAGCTGATTATATAGTTTGGGATATAGGACCAAACTACTAACTGCAAAGTATTTATCTTTCTTATGTGTCACAATTTTTCTTTCTCACTTTCTTACCAGATATCAGCTTTTTATCTGTCTGCCTTGTATATTGTCAATTCTTTATCTAGTAGTGAGAGGGGGCAAAGGAAAAAGGTAGAGAAAAGCCATCCTCAAGGAGCTCCCACCTCCATCTGTTAGGATCCTCAGGTTCCATTAATTTACCAGAGCAGCTCATGGAACTCAGAGAAACATTTTATTACTAGATTACCCATTTATTTTAAAAGGATACAACTCAGGAAGAGCTCAAAGGAGTAGATGCACAGGGAAGGCTTGGGGAAAGAGGGAGGAGCTTTCATTCTCTGGATGCATCACTCTCCCAGCACCTCTATATATGTTCACCAACCTGGAATCTCTTCCAACCCTGTCTTTGGGCGGGGGGTGTGTTATGGAGATTTCACTACATAGACTTGGTTGATGCAATCACTCGCTTTTGGTGGTTGAATTCAGTCTCCAGCTCCTTTGCCCTCCCAGAAGGTTGGTGGTCAGAGAGTGGGACTGAAGATTCCAACCTTCTAATCACATGGCTCCTTCTCCTGATGACCAGTCCCTATCCGTAGGTGGGGTCCAAAAGTCACCTCATTAACATAACAAATGACGTTTGTCAGTCTTAACACAGGAAATTCCAAGGATTTTTAGGAGCTCTGTGCCAGAAATGGGGATAAAGACCAAATACATATTTCTAATTATAAATCACAACATAAAGGCATACCAGGATTGGCAAGATCTGCCATGCAAAAGGTAATTTTAGGAATAATGATGACGCCACCAAGAACTTCTGAGGTTTGAAGGCTTGCTGTTCCCTAGGCCCTGGGTGCAAGCACCTTGCTTGCATTCTTATTTAATCCTCATGATGAAGAAAATGAGGCTCTAGTTGCCTAACTAAGTGACTTGTAAGATCACACAGGAAGGGGCAAACCTGAGACTTGAATTCAAATCAAGATCCTTACCTGTTAGGTCAAATACACAGTAATATTCTGAATCAGGGTACAGGCAGATGTGATATCAGCCAGGGTGCAGAGGCTGAAAGGCGCACTCTGCATGTAGGTAAACTTGAACTGCTAGAGCTCGTAGTATGAAACAGGCAGGAGATAAGTCTTAAAAGAGCGGAAGTCACATCACAGAAGATCTTAGATGCCATATTTAGGAGCTTGTTCTCTGGTTTGTAGACAAGAGAAGGGATTTTAAGCAACAGTGTAAGAAGCAGTCTCTGAGAAGCAGTCTGAAATAGTTTAAAGTAGACAGCTGGGAATTCAGAACTAGATCTGCTAACTCCCTTCTCTGGGCCTCAGGTATCTTATCATTAAAGTGATAAACAGTATCTCCCCTCCCAAAGTTATTGACGATTCAGAGTATTTTTAAAAAGTGCTTTGCATAAAGTAAGCACAACGTAAGTAGAGCACAAACTATCATCGTCTGCATTTTAAATAGATTATCTCGGAGGCTAAAAGGGAACAAGGATGGAGTCTGTCACACTAATCTGGAGAGGAGTGCCCCCCCCCCCCAGACAAAAGTAGTTAGGATGACAGCAAACAGAATTGCATGACTGATTTAAATGTCAATGAAGGACATGTAATCAAAGCTATCACAGCTGATTCTCAAGTTTCTAAGAAATCAGCACAGATTTGACAACTCTTCCATACAACAAAAGAAAAAAAAGAGCATATCACAAATGGGAACAAAGCAGTCACTTTAGGTTTTTTTTAAACTGAAGCAAAAGTTCTGAAAAGATTTCCTGAAGTGATGAAAGGGTTCTATACATTAATTTAGCAAATGTTTATTGAGTTTTTATTACATACAATGCACCATGGCAGGTAAAATGCAGACTACAAAGATGAAGATGACAACCGACCCTCAAAGAACTTGCTGTGTCCGTCCTCTAAATGACATTTTATTACAAAACAAAGTAAAGACTGCTCAATACACAAGAGATACAGTGCTCTGAGTTAGAGCAGATTCTGGAAGTGTATCTGAAGTTAAGGCTCGTTTCATGGGTACTAAGACATAATCTGTCTTTCCCCCTAAATTGACGCTTGCACTGATAGTGTAACAGCAGTGGTGGATGAAAATGCTGACAGAAACAAGGCAGTGGCATCAAACTATGTCCCTGCAGACACAGCATTCTTCACCACTTAAAAAAAAAAAAAACTCAAACAAGCAAAACTAGTTTTTCATAAGAATGCCTTTGATGATGCAGTTAAAAGTATTAGTTGTATTAAATCATGACCCCTGACTACTTTTTAAAGTTATGATAACACAGGCCACATACTAGCAGTAAAGAATTTAACCTTGACTGCAGAGGTCTGGCCTTTGCCCTTGGATCCTGAGAGGTCATCTCCAACTCTCTTGGAATATCCTGCCTGATAAAAGTGTCTTTGTTTACCAGGGGGCCTTCAGCCACACCAGAGAGTCTAACAGAGTGACTTAGAGTTGGGGCTTTGGGTCAACTTGATCTCTGGTATCAGAGGGCTGTAGAGTGAGGTCAGCTGTTTGGGCAGTTGACTGTGTCTCCATGAGTGAGTGAGCCCCATGAAGACTCTGGACACCCAAGTCCAGGTTAGCTTCCTTGATTGGCAGACAGTCACACACTGCTGCTGAGAGAACCAAGTACCATCCACAACTCCACCAGGAGAGGACAACTGGAAGGTCTACATTTGCAATTCTCCCGGACTTTCATCCTCTTCTAGCTGCTTTCAAACCTGCATCCATTTCCTGTAGTGAACCATAACCACAAATTAACAGTTTCCAATGAGTTCTGTGAGTCCTTCTACTGAATTGCTATACCTAAAGGCAGTCTCAGGGACCCCTCAACTTGCAATTAATATCAGAGCTGAGTGTAGTCTTGGGGATCTGGAACTCTACATTCTGTCTGGAGTAAAGGCTGCTCCAGGAGCCTTCCCCAACTTCACACACAATTAAGGGTTTCTGCTCCAAAATGAAATACAATCGGGTTTTTTTTCTCTAGGAAAAGCACTTGAGTTGATTATTTCAGTAGGATGCTTTTTTCATAGCCTACCCTTTTATTTAAAAGAACGACTAAAAGACAAATTTCGATTATACAGACTTTGGTATTTGGCAGACATTTTATCGAAAACAAAGAAAGTACCCTGGTCATTTCAAGAAAACTGACAGTACTTGTTGCCAATGATAACATTTGAATTTTGGAAAACTCATCCAGTACTGTGACCCTGACAGTTTCCTAATACTTAAGGTCCTTTTGGTGAATCACCAGTGTTTTAATAAATGTGATTTCTAAAAATAATCATCTAACAAAACACATCACTACCTCAAAGATCTGTGTAATTCAGTGAACCAATATTTCCAAAGACCAATGCAAAATATTCCTGGGTAAAAGATTCACTCCCAGTGTTCTGAGCAATTAATTGGCTTTAATGTATGAAAAATTCACTGCTAAAATTTTATATCTATGTTGCAATTAACTTTTAGGAAACTACTATTTGTCAAGTTTTGGTATAGAACCAAAGAAGAAAATCCACAATTAGCTGACAAGATCTTCAAATCCCCCCCCTTTTTCCAACTCCGTATGTATCTGTGAAAGGCTAGACAGTCCTCATGTACTTTAACCAGAACAATGTACAGTAATAGACTGGATGCAGAAGAGAGGAGAACCCAGTTAAGTTCAGCCAGACATTAAAGAGATTTGCAAATATGTAAAGCAGTGTCAGTCCTCACATATTTTTGTTTAGGGGAATATAGCTATCTTTCATTAAAATATTTATTATAATATTCAAAGGGATTATTATTGTCACTTGTATATGGATGTAAATTTTAAAAATTTTAAGTTTCTCAGTGCAGCTCTCTTTCTAGAGCTTGCCTCTCTAGAGATATCTGGAGTATACTTTTCACTTTAATAAACTTTCTTGTTTCTGCTATTCAATAACTTTAAAAATTAATTTTCTCAATTTCACTGACAGATATAACCCACAAAAACAAAAGCTCTTTTGGTGGGACACCTGGGTAGTTAAGTGGTTGAACGTCTGCCTTTGGCTCAGGTTGTGATCCTAGAGTCCTGGGATTGAGTCCCACATGGGGCTCCCTGGATGGAGCCTGCCTCTCTGTGTCTCTCATGAATAAATAAATAAAATATTTTTTATAAAATATTTTTTAAAAGCTCTTTTGGTGACAGATCACCACTTACTGATCACAGATCATCATGCTTACTGTGGTGATTATTTTGCAACATAAACAAATATTAAATCATTATGGTGTATACCTGAAACTTATATATCTATTATACCACCAACCCCCACCAAAAAATGCACAAAATCTCTTTCAAATTCTCAATAATTTTTAATGCACTCCCTAAAGCTAAAAAGTATGAGAACCACTGAGTTAGAAGATGCACAGTCCAGCTTGAAGGACAAGACAGAAACTTTCATGGACAAGATGGAACTCAATTAAAGGACTTCAAAATGTTTTAAAAAGCATATATACACATGGCTAACCTCTTCATCAGAATGATTAACTTAGGAAGTTACTCCAATTGTTTATTCTTATTGTCACTGCTCAAAATATTTTATTTTATTTTATTTTTTAATTTATTTATGATAGTCACACACACACACACAGAGAGAGGCAGAGACATAGGCAGAGGGAGAAGCAGGCTCCATGCACTGGGAGCCCGATGTGGGATTCGATCCCGGGTCT